TTCTTAAGGACATTTAAGGAATATGGTCTCAGTCAATTAAATCTGACAAGGGTGATTGAGAAATTGTATTGTAAGCAATGTAAAAATGTCCTGCTTACAGGATCATTCATCTAAACCATTCTAAAATTACAGAATTTGTCAATTACTTTTTAGGAATTTAAGCACAACTCTTCGTTTCGTACGTTTGGAAGATTTTATATGTAATGACACTTGTGGATCTAGTTTGCACACCCGATTCCATCTTTTTCCTTCGAGAAGATCAATTTAACCTCGCTAGTTTTACTAAACAGATCTTGTTGTACTTGAGAATTTATATGTTGTACACAGTAAAACGTGAGAGCGAGGTGAGGAACAAATAGATAAGTGAAAAAAACCCAGACGGTTTGCTGATATCGGCATGTTAACCTGGCGTTTCTTTATACCACACTGGTCTGATTACCTTCTAAAATGTTTAAGATATGGAAAAGTGTCTGCGGAGTGGTCCATAGACTGTCCTAAAATTATCAGGACCTTTTAAAAGTCACATAATTTCTTTACTATCTAGTATTCATCAATATTCCTTACATCATCCCCGGAAGAGGATGTATCTGGCGCAAACGGGAATACAGACACCACGCTCTGACGATGGAAGCGAGCGAGCTTTTGAAACGTCAGCCAGAATACACTTTGGTCCCAGTAGTCGTCCCCTCTTCTTCTTCCTCTTCCGGGGAGGATGTAAGGGATATTTTATCTGGACCTCGAATTTTCTCGCAATATATTTTATGTACTTCTAAACCTCATTGATTGATAATTTATTTGTAGACAAATTTGAACACAATGTTTACGATACGCTACAGCAGAATAAATGTAATACAAGTATTGTGGTAGTCCGCGCCCTTTCATTCGCCAAGTCTTTGTGTGGTCGCACGTAGCAAACATCCCGCACCTTCTTTGACAATCGTTGTAAGGGGTCCGCCCTGCCCTGTCTGTCCTACAGTACCCAATCGCGTCGCTGTTTGAGACACGTGTAGGCTGGAGTCAATCGATGCGCGCAGTTTCTTTTTATTGGCCGTAATAACACCTGGAAATCAGGGCTTCCTAATAACGAACACCAATTCCTATCTTGCCTGATAACACAGTTGTTGCTGTTGCTTGGTAGAGCCTGTTGTAAAGCTCCTTTCATGGAGGAAAAGCACCTTCAACTTGTAAAAGGCCGTGCCTAGGTTCCTGATTTCGCGGAGCTCAGCCGATGGTGTTCAAGGCATAAGTATGATAGAAGATTGGATGAAGCGGGGATGGTTGCTTAAGCTGTTAGTGTATCTATCGGGACGGTCAAGTATTGGTGGTGGCACTACAGGCGGAGAGATACCCTCATACAGCATCAGAACTCTGAAAGACCAAAAAGTGCTGAAATCGGAGAAATGCTGTTCTAAAGGTCAAAGGTAACTTTCTTCCAAAGTAAATGGTGAAATATGCATTACTTCAGAAAGTAAGAGTACGAGAATTTCGGAAGAGCACTTCGTTTTTGCCTATGTGTAATTTAGTAACAATAGGTGCAAAACATTGGCAGTTTCAGCAATTTTGTAGTATTTATATGATCGCTATTTTGTACATTTCCGATCGTAGAAAGAAGCCATAAAGTAAAAATCCTACGCTAGTGTCAGGAGAACTGTTAGTAGTTTTCAGACAGCCTTGCTTGCTTGAGTTTGCACATGCAACTTAAACAAACATCTGCGTCAAAACCAATGCTAAAACGTACATCTGTTCACTCAATGCTCTCCTAAAATATCTTACATTGACGGTTCTAATCGGTGCAGCAAGCGAGTTGACGGGTGATTGAAAGGAATAAAACCTAAAAAAAGTATACTGTGTTATGATAACGCTGAAAGTTAATGGACTTCCGCGTGAGCAAAATCCACATCCAAATTAGACGGAATTAAGTTTCCCTAATACAACACTTTTACAACGACCACCCCTGACAGCTAGGTTAAAATCTAGTCGACCCAGACAGGCAATTCAGCATTTGACTTTTGTTCTCATGACGCCTTTGTCACCCACGGCTTTACCAGCTAATTCTATTTGAATGTAGTAGACATTGACAGGCCTTTAAAACTGTGAACTTTTTGTTTCGAAAACTTTTGTTCTTGTGATACCCTTATCTGCGAAATCTGGTAAAGCTATTCATACTTTACTAACCTGGAGGTCTGCAAACATAAAAACACGCAAGAATTATGTCGAATGTTTTTCACAATACACGTTTGTAACAGGTGACCGGATACAACACACCTGAGATTATATTTTATGAAGGCGGGCGTAAAGAAACCCTTTTTCAAGCCTCTCCCTAAGTTAGATAGTAACACGGACCAGCATTTTTATACTCCTAAAATATTACTCTGATCATGTGACACGAATTATCGTATTTTATTAAGAAAATGTGTGTCTTCTAATCACTTTTACCTTTATGTTGTGTTTTACTTTACTTGGAGGTCGGTCGTTGGGTTTTTAATGGATACAATGGTATTGTTTGCAGATTCGTTTTTGATTGTTCAGACATTTTGTATGTATTCATTGATGAACGTTCAGCCGACCGCTAGCGGAACTTATCTGTCCCGCTCTGCCTGGGGTCTCGACAGAGGCCCCGACAGCTGTAGCAGCTGGAATTGTAGACAGATAGTATTACGAGCAAAAACAAGGGAGCCTGAAATTGCCATTTCAGGTTTCTTAGCCTTCCTCAGCTGAGTGATGCACCACCCGAGGCTCTTACTCGCGACCCTTTTTTTTATCAGAGTCTAACACCCTATCTACGCATGACCATGACTGTGTTATCATCACCTATGATTAAGGATTCCCGAGGGA